CACATGATTACGGGAGCTATGGATAGTCAATATTTCTAATTCACTAAGACCCAAAACCATCGGACTAAACTTCCACACAGTTATTGGGAGAGGGAGTGCTCATTTTCAAAATACTATTGAATGATCTCCGCCTGCTTACATCCTGTTGATTCCCAAACAAGCAGTGGGAAAAATGAGTATGAGAAACCAAATGCAAGTCTTAGTCAAGAGTCCTATTTAGCACATTTAGAGTTGTGTAGTAGTGTAAAAAAAAAAATGGGAAAGGTGTTTGCAATGAAGGTTCCCACCCCTCCAATTAGAGTGCATTCACAGACTTGTATGAGGAAGGGAGAGGAAGTGATGAAGCATGCATTAGGACATTGGGATGCTAAAAAGTGGTTTGCATACTTGCATGAGATATTTGGATGCAATGCAAGGATGGACTTTGAATCCTGATATCATCATGTTCATGTTGTCTTTTGGAAGTGATCTTGCTCCAGTCACCCATGAGAAGAAAGATCCTTTGCTTCCCAATAAAGCTTGAATGACACACATTCTGATGCCTATTTTTCATGACTTTTCTTTCAAATGAAAATTAGATTACCAATATAGAAGGGGTAGCCAAAAGCCGAACATTTTCATTTATTAACTTCAGTAGTTGTAGAAATGTGGGATCTTCATAGTCATAGCGCCTCCCAAGTAGAATAGAAACTATGATGTTGGAAAAAGCAGCAGTCATAATTGTTTTGACCTCAAATGGTTTTCCTGGGCAATGAACAATAAATCAAAACAGAATTGTGAATGTAACCAGGATTAAATCTGCTAAACAAACTAGATTTTGCATTTTTTAATGCCTTTCTTTCTCATGCCTTTCTTTATTGCAACTGGCTTACCTAAAAGCAAATGGCACGATGAGTTTGTAGGTATGTAGGAATGCTCCGCAAATGGAACCTCAGTTAGTTACTCAAAGAATTTTTAATTTTCCAGATTATTTGTATATCATAGGGCATCTCTTATTTCTTCTTCCTCATGGCAATGAATGGTAAGTTTTATCCCTATCCTTTCTGAGTTGCAAAAATGCAGAGAACTATAAATAACAATGATTAGAGCTCGGTGTCTCTCTTTGCTGCCACCCTATGGTTATCCAGACTTTTGCAACCCAGATACTGTGCATTAGGCACTTTTGACACTGGAGGGTTTAGGGACGAATATTTTGGAAAGTATGAGATTCCTTCTCCTACCATGTCAGCTACCAGTGAGGTGTGCTGCTGAATAAGTGCACCAACAGCAGTTTGATCCTTAGGATTGAATTATGGGGGATCCCATACTGACAATTGAAAGATGATAAGTTTGTTGGAGAACATGGGAAAAATATGAATACTCTAGGTCACTTAATACACTTAGATGATGTGCTTTTGGTCTTTGAAACACTACAAGAGGTTTATCATTGTCCCAAAGCAGAGTGGAGCAAACAGTCCAGTTTGCACCACCTTTTCATGCCCAGATGGAGAGCTTACAGCCCCAACTCCTCTCTCTATAGAGGATCTAGAGGATTCTGTAAAGAAAATTAAGTGTAGAACTGTTATTTTTGAGAGATCTTTGGGTTACACTAAATTAACTTTTCAAAACTTCTGGAAGCATTTTGACATCCATAAGTGACATTTCTGTAAATATAATTTGTATAAATTAATCAGCTATGCATCTTTGCAGGAAAATACTGGTGAGTTTAAGAACTGTTGGAGAGAGGATACTCCAAAAGCACTCCTTGTTCACTTGATATAATCTGAGGAAATTATTTCACATTCTACGTTTGTCCTGGAGGATGCTCCGGTAGAGCCTTAGGAGGAAATGCCAGCCCACCTGCATAAGTTGTAATTGTCTTCATCAAAACACTACACTCTTCAGTGATTTTGTCTTCAATGGTCCTCTTGCCCACTCCGTAGTCCCGTAATGTGGATAACGTGAACCCTCGCATCACTTTCCAGTTCTCACCATGAGCAAAAACAACACCTGGAGAGAAAACATAGAGAAAGGGGGTCAGATTGAGAGATGTAATTTTACCAAGAAAAGTCCATGATTTTGCACATCATTTGGGGGGAAGTTTATCTGGTTATTCTTAAAAATCAGGAATGAAGGATGTGGAAAGAAATTTGCTTCTATATGATCTTTGCACCAAATATTTATTTACCTCTTTCCAGGAGCCTTGGCGTCCTGTGGATATTTTCTGAGGTAGCAGTTGCAAAGACCTGAAGGTTTTTTTTGTTTTGTTTTGTTTTTTTAAACGATGCTTCAATGTATTTTGAGTAAGTGTTGCATCCACCATTTAAAATACCCAGGTCCTCTTGCCAGGAGAGGTGCCTGGAGATGATTGAGATGGGACTTTGGGAGATGCCCTTGAGTGACCTGCATTTTTCCATTGACACCTGGAAGAGAGGCTGCTTAGACAAGCTAGCTCTAGTTATTGACTCTCATGACCTATGAGATAACAAACTTGACCTATGAGATAAAACAAAAAGTATTGTTTTAATTGTATATATCGTATGTATTTTATATATATTTATAGTTTTAGTGTCTTTGTAACCCGCCCAGAGTCCCCTGTTGTGGGGGAGATGGGTGGGAGAGAAATCCAATAATAAATAAATAAATAAATAAATAAATAAATAAATAAATAAACTACCTACTCTAACCCCAGTTACATCACTAATTCCCACTTTTGTGTTAACTAATGACCCAATACCTGCTACGCTTAATAATGGAGCTTATCCTCACTAATATGTAACCTTCCCTTGCTGATGCCTAAACTAAGCAACTCCAGGGAGAGTGTGAAGGGCTCTAAGACTTGCCCAACAAAAACAACCACTTTGGGAGTCGATTCCATGGAATTTCCTCCTCGCCACTACTTTCGCTCACTGCAGGTGGTGTGGGAGGAATCTCTCTAATGCTGTAAGTATTGGGATTTCATTAATACATTTTTACTAATGGTAATTATCCTGGTGTCTTTCCCAGTGTATAACGTCTTCAGTATCCAGCATTAAAATGTTAAACCAGTTGTTCCTTACACAGGGCAGCCACTTACAACACTCACCAGAAACTTGTAGAATTTCTTGCAAATTCTCATTCCCATAGCATGGGGATAATATTATCATAGTATTTTTTTTTGTAATGGATTCCATGGCAGTGCATTTCTGTACTGTGCTCACATTATACATATGTTATGGAGAAATGCTCCATGAGGGATGGACAAAAATGTGTATTAAGGGAGAGAAACTGGCAAGAGCATTGCAGAAAGGAAAGGTATGTATAACTATATATAGGAGGAGAAATATGCTGAAAAATGCTTACATACTACTGGGATTCTACACACACAATTCCACACACAACACACAGACCCAAATTTGCAAAGAAGCAGAATCAAACATGGTGGTGAGGAGCACATGAGGCTCATAGACTTGGTACAATATTGCCACAGCTTTTTTTCCCCACTCCCTCCATTGGCACTGAGGGACTAAGTCACAGTGGGAGAAGAAAGATTTTAGTTGGATCTCCATCCTGGCTGGATTTGCAGATGCTGTCCCAGTCCTCTGAGGTTACTGCCTGTGAAAACCTCAGGTGAAAAGTTCTACACGATACTTATCACACATCTGCAAGGAATGCCAGCTACGATCCAGAATGAAATAACTCACCAAACCTTTTGCCACATTATCAAAAATGGGGATGAAGGGCCTCTCTGCAAATACATCTGCCTGGTTCACCAGAGCCTCTTTGACTGTCTCATAGCCAGACAGCATCACCATTTCCTGGAATCCCAGTTTGATCCAGAAAATGGGACCGTATTCTTTTGACAACTGGAATTCAACAGATGAAAAAGAAGAGACCCTTTTGATCAATAATTAGACCCACATAAGCAGAGCTTTGTTTAAAAAATCGTGTCTCATAATTCCAAGGTGGAGATCAGGTTATTTTTTTTTCTTTTATGGCACGTTATGATACTGCTATTATTATTGGTGCTTTTAATTTTCATATTATATATATTTAACACCCTTATGTAATAAAATGATCCTTGATCACCATGCCAAACAAATAAATGTTTCTCACAAATACTAAAGGGATCAACTGTGCAGGACTGTGTGAATATGAAGCCTGCACAAGAGATATACTTAATATTCCAGCATTTTTGAAATTTAGTTTGGTGCTGGACACAGTGGAATTTCTGCTAAAAGAGAAATTGAGCCCTGCCACATTGTTTAAGGGGTCATATCAAAGCTTTCTTATTGTGCCCCCAGGAGTTTTTGAAGGTGATTGTATGAATTCCTTAAAGGAAAGAAATCCAAATATACGCTCATGAATGAATCTGAAAATCAGGAAAGTTACCCCTCTCCCCTTCATAAAAAGCTTTAAGAAAATCTTGGGTAGGGTGTTCACTGAAGAAATTGTTTTAATTACTTATAATTCTGCTTAAAAGCTGCAAACATAGGAGTCTCTCTAAGCACATCTATCAAGTCATTCAGGTTAAATAGCATTTATATTTCCTGTTAGGCTCACTGGGATTTTGAACCATCTCTGCAAATCTGAATAAACAGAAAATTTTACATGCATTAACAAAATGTTTTTCTTGGAATAATCCTTCCATAATTTTAAACATATTCAAACAACAGGTAACCCCCCCACTTTTTAAATATTTCCATAAACACTGAAAAGCAACAGGGACCACATGAGACTTACCAGAGTAAGTCACCAAGATCTTGCGCTATGTCATTAAATTACGGCAAAGAACATTCAGGGTTGTTAATCATCAGACTTGACCTCGATCATTGTTCTGAAAGGCCTCTTCAGATCCACCAAGTGCAGATTTCCCAAAATGGGTATGGTCCTAGGTCCCGAGGGAAGATTTGCGGAGCTGTCATTCCAGGAATTGCCCTTCTTCAAAAGGGATATAATTGCAAGAATGAATAGTATGAGCATTAAAATTGCTCCAGTCCAATCCATTTCCTTGTAGTAAGCAGTTTTCAGTAATAGTTCTGCAAACTGAAGTGACAGAAGCCTCTGTTTCAAAGCACCGCTTGAGGCATAGGCCAGCTACTCCTCTACCGAACGATGAGACCGCCCCTATAACGGGACCTGCAACCTTGCGCTTCTTTTCTCTCTCCTCCCCAGGAATTTGATCAGAACTTGCCTATGATACACATATGCGTGGGATGTATGAAAACTTTGCAAACCGGTTTCACTGCATTTGTACTGCACAACAATCCAGCTTCTAAGACAGATGTATGTAAGCTATTATTATTATGGAATATAGGATGAATTGTGAAATTCTCACAAAGTCCTTCAGGAATCAAGATTTTATTATTCAGCAATTATTAATTGCTATGTCTCTGTGATGGAATGGAATGATGAAGGCCAAGCTCAGGGAGACAAACATTTTCTTAGCTCGCCAGAACCGCATGGGAGGAACAAGAAGATGAGACTGACACCTCTCTGAGGAATTCACACTGTTGTGGCTGGAGGACTGTGATGGAATGGAATGATGAAGGCCAAGCTCAGGGAGACAAACATTTTCTTAGCTCGCCAGAACCGCATGGGAGGAACAAGAAGATGAGACTGGCACCTCTCTGAGGAATTCACACTGTTGTGGCTGGAGGACTGTGATGGAATGGAATGATGAAGGCCAAGCTCAGGGAGACAAACATTTTCTTAGCTCGCCAGAACCGCATGGGAGGAACAAGAAGATGAGACTGGCACCTCTCTGAGGAATTCACACTGTTGTGGCTGGGGGACTGTGATGGAATGGAATGATGAAGGCCAAGCTCAGGGAGACAAACATTTTCTTAGCTCGCCAGAACCGCATGGGAGGAACAAGAAGAT